AAAATGTCGCTCAAAACAGAGATCTAGCAGGAGTCGCATGCATTGAAGAGACCAGCACGCCGCTGCTTCTTATTGACACAGCAGGGTGTGGTCTGAGTGAAATGGAGGTCGCAGATGAGCAGTCCAAAGGCAACACAGGTTATTCTTTTTTAATTTTAGCTTGTAAACAAGCAATCTATGATTACTGCTTGTGTGGTATGACAGTTTAACAGCGTGTCATGTGTTTCCTCAGGTGAGGTCGACATCGTCGATCTGCACATAAAAGCTCTGACTGAAGCTGGAGTTAAAGCTAAAGACATAGCTGTTATTGCTCCATACAATCTACAAGTAAGTCACAGAAATGAGACTGGCAGCACCGAAAGTAACTGATTGGTTTCAAAATTCCAGGGAGAATTATTAAAAATTTTCCTGAAGGTTAGATTTTCATAGCACAGTGATTAGGGAAATGCAACAAGGATGTAAAGACTAGTATAAAGAATAACTTAACTTTTAAGTAACTTAATGCATTACTTTAAAGAAAAGTGATATGTGTAATACATTACTTAAAAAAATAAATAAATAAATAATGCCCCCAACACTGATCACAACAAAGAGGAGAAATACCTCCAACGTGCACAAACATTTGACCACACAGCGTGCAATAAATTTGCATGTATGTATGTAAAAACATCTTTTCCTTTGATAAAAATAAACACCCAAAGCTTTATCATTTAAATGGTACATGGTAAACACACTGGTACTTATATAATGCCGTTCTACTTAATTTTGAGCACTCAAAGCCCTTTCTAAGTCTCATTCAGCCAATCACACACATTCATACAGTTCTTTTATCTAACATTCACATACTCACACTGCAATTGGTAGCAACTCAGGCTTTAGTATCTTGCCCAAGGATACTTCGACACAGGTGGACCCGTCAATCCACCGACCTTCTAATTGGTAGACATTCCGGTATACCACTTAAACCACAGCTGCCAAGGAAAATCGATATAACAGTGCTGTTTTGAATATAACAACCGTTTTTCTCTCCGTACAGGTCGATCTTCTACGTCAGAAACTTTCTGCAAAGCATCCAGAGCTCGAGATAAAATCAGTGGATGGATTTCAGGGCAGGGAAAAAGAGGCTGTCGTGTTGTCGTTAGTTCGATCCAACAGAAAAGGTAATTCATGACATTCCTTTTAATTCTGTCACAGAATTGTAGATGTTAGCTGCATTAAACATAAACAACAGTTTATCTTTCTACTCACAATTTTTTTTTTCCCCACTGATTCCATTTATTTTAGGTGAAGTTGGATTTCTAGCAGAGGACAGAAGGATAAATGTTGCCGTTACGCGTGCAAGACGACACATCGCTGTCGTGTGTGACACTCAAACCGTTCAGAATCACGGTTTTCTGAAATCCCTGATTGATCACATGACTGCGTTTGGTGAAGTCAGAACAGCGTTCGAGTACATTCAAGACATCGTACCACAAAACTACACCCGTGACCACAAAGATGCGAAAACAGCCTCTTCCAGCACCTCCACATCTACCAAACACAAGGTCAAGGATCAGCCCTCCAGTAAAGCAAAGCCAGGACAGAAAAAATCTGCTGGTAGCAGCAGCAAGGAAAATGCAGCTGGTTCAGAGAAGCAAACAAAGTCTAGCACATCAGCAGAGCAAGAGCAGAGTAAGGGCAGACGCGCTGAGATCAGAGAGCAGGTGGAAAGGTTTATGAAGGACTTAAACCAGAGTGAGCTACAGTTTCCGTCATCATTTAACTCTCATGACCGGCTGCTGGTCCATGAGATCGCTGAGGAGCTGGGCCTCATTCATGAGAGCAAAGGGGAGGGAAGTGAGAGGTGTATCACTGTCTCCAGACCCCCGGTGTCAAAACCAGCCAAAGAAGAAGCACGAGCAGCAACGGAAGAGGAAGAGGAAACGATCCCAGATTCAAAAAGTGAGCCATCGTCTCAACCCCCCTTAGACCTGAAAAGTTTACATTTAGAGAGGATGAAGAGAGAGCAGAAGAAAAGGGAAGAAAATGCTCAACAAAAAAAGCAACAGAACAACATTCATCCAGCTCAAGGCCACTCATCAAAAAAAGCAAAAGGTTTGCATCAGAAGCATCTAAACAAAGCATTTAAAGGTGTTTTCTTACCCATCAGCTTTCTAACAGTTTAACTCTGCATCATGTTTCAACCCCAGGAAAAAATCAAACCAAGGCTGGGGCCTGCGACATCGCTGCTGCATCTGCTCCAGATGATGACTTCGACACACTCATCAGTAGTGTCATGAAGGCCGACAGTGTTTGTAGTTTTGTCAAGTGCAAAGCATCTGTGCTAACACTCGGGCAGCTCTGCCTGTTCTGTAACAGGCAGTATTGTCTCAGTCATCATATACCAGAGGTAAGAGGCACGCCTCAACTGAGTAGTATGTTTGATGTGTAGGTTAACAGGTAACACCTGCCAAGCATCTGTGGAATTTATGTTTTTTTTACGTGAAAATCTGATTGATGTCTTGCAAATACTTTTCAGGTTCACGGCTGTGGAGATAAAGCCAAGTCTCATGCTCGAATGAGGATAAGTAAAGAGGGTGTTCTTTATGCTGGGAGTGGGAAGAAAGACAAATCTATGGACCACAATAAGAAGGCCTATCTGCAAAGAAAATTGGACTCTAAGCTAAAAGACATGGCGTCACAGAGGAAGCCAAAAAACAAAGAGAAGGATGGTTAATGGTTAACTTGACACTAAATTTAAATAAATCTAAAGACTTTTTTCTGAGAAAGCTAAAAGAGTGTTTGAAATTGTTTATTTTCTTGCTCTTTGGACCTCTGTTTGATACAGTAAAGTACAATTTCCTGCTGAAAAACTCTTATTTAAATAAATAATTTTAATTACAAAAAATTTTCATTGTGTTTCAGTCACAATATTTATTGCATATATTACTAGTGCTGTTATGACACGTAATGGAGCCTGTCTTTTAACTCAACATTATGGGAAGCTATTCTACTTTCACTTTGTCTGGGGACAGATTGTCAATGGGTCGCGTTTTGCACATCCTTACACAATCCGGGGGAAAAGTAGGAGAAAACCTTCTCAGTAAATTTGTCTTTGAATGTGTGGATCTTTGTAGAATCTGCAGCATTGATGAAAACAACTTTCCCCTTCTCATAGTCCAGCTCTACTGTAATCCTGTTGGGCTTCTCCTTCATTGGGAGCTTGGAGTGAGGTGTGGTCTGTGCCCACAGTGAGTCTCCATTGCTCAAGCCAATTACCCAGAAACCCTCAGCAGGGCTGAGGAAGATGGTATTCTGTCTTTGGATGGAGTCTAGAGCCACTCCAATATACCAGTCTTGGCCTTGGCCCACATCTACAGTCCAGCTGTGCTTTCCAGATGTAAAACCAGTGGCTCCCAGCACAGAAATACGGCTGACAAGGCGTTCAGGATTGTTGGGTAGGAGCTTCTTGCTGCTGTATTGCATTGATTTAGAGTAAACTTTAGAGTAAAAAATTTTTTTAACCCACCACATCTGACAATGTCTTCCACCTTCTTCCAAATGTGAAAACTAAGTGATCCCAGATGCTTTGCAGAGTTTATCAGGATATCTCTGATGACCTCTGGCTCTCCAATTTTCCACTGAAGCCTGAAACATGTTAAGTTGTTACAGCCTTCTCTCATAGAAAAGATCAATGCTGATTTTAGCAGATAGTGGGTTATGCTTACATTTTCTTTGTCTTCTTGTAGTCCTTAAGTTGAAGAGAGAATGTGAAAGAGAGTACATTATGAAATCATGTGTGAAATAGAGTTGCACATCTGGAAACGGCTGAAAGTATTAAACCTGTACAGTAATTCAAAGACACACATATGTGCACTACCGTTCAAAAGTTTCAGTTTTGTATTGCAATTCAAGTCGTTCAGCTCCAATGAATAGCTTGAAACGGTACAAAGGTAAATGGTGAACTGCCAGAGGCTAAAAAAAGATAAGGTTACCCAAAACTGAAAAATAATGTAAATTTTAAATGTATACAAAAAGGCCTTTTTTTCTTTCTTTTTTTTAGGAAACACAAAATGGTTTAACAATTTAAAGCTGTTCTGCAGTAATAGAGGTTGATCAAGCCGTGAGAGTTGGTGCTGTTATTTCTTACAAGTGTTCCAACTTTTCTGGATTACTTACAACCCCCTCTGTCTGTGAGCAGACCATGTGAGCTAACTATGGCATCAGAATAAAACAAAGAGGCTTGCCTGGGCCATGAAACACCACTGCCATCCATTAGGCAAAAGGATGGTTCCACAGTGTTTGGCATCAACTGTCAAACATGGAGGAAGAAGTGTGATGGTCTGCATTAATTTATAGTTCCTTCCAAAACATGCAAACCTCCTGTACTGCATGCACTTATGCACTCCCGTACCACAATGTTGGATTTTGAACTGAATGCTGATAACATACTGCAAAGTCTCCCTCCTCTTTAGCCTGGAGGACGGAGCATCCACGATTATCAACAAGAACGTCTAATTTGGACTTGCTGAACACTTTACCACTTTGAAACAGTTCATTTCAAAGGAGTCTTGGTCCACAAGACACAAAGGTACTTCTGCACTGTTCAAATATGGCTTCCTCCTTGCATGATAGCGCACATAAGCAGCCAAAATGAAGCAAATCAGAAGTGCCAAAACTGTAATTGCCAACTAAACTAGGTTTAAAAGTTCAAATTATGAGCTCTACACCAGAAAAAAAGCCATTATTTATGCTTTATGTAGTGTTAAAACAGGTACAATGCTGTGAAAAAGTATTTGCCCGTTCCTGAGTTCTTTTTCTTTTTTTGGATTTCTCAACAAGATGAAGGTAACAAAGAAAGATTTGAGGCTCCAAAACAGGAAACAAACTAATGGGTTACATCCATGGACACTGTAAGAGATGGACGTAGCGATTTTGTAACCGGATGCAGTGAGTCGGTGCAGGTCTGACTGTCAAACCATATGCTCATTGACTAACAACTTGTCAATCACAAATTGATACTTCCTTTCTGACAAACAGTATAACCAAGATGTATGAAATGAACTCCTTTTTAAAATTTAATATGACCCTAAATATGTAACTGAGACCATGAACTCAACAGAAAAGTGTTAACAGTGGTAAAGGTAGAAAACGATATTTCTATAGACTTCAGTGGGTCCAGAAGTCTTTTTGCAATCACAGGGATCACCCCCTGGTGGCCATTAAAAAGAACGCAGGCACATTAAAGTTGGCTCCACTTGTCAGACGCTACATGTGTCTTTAAAACTGACAATACTGATTAACCAGTACAGCATACTAACATTTTACATCCAGACTATGGAAAATAGGTCTGTGAGAAATGCTTGTCTGACATTTTATGTTTTACTTCCAAGTTTGAATCCAAGAAATCTAAGAAATACGAAATTTCAAATTTAATAAATAAAGTTGGTAAACATTTTGTGCAAAATATGATTTTGGTTAATATTCAGTAATTTTCTTGTTTGCATGTATACTAACTAAATACTTTTAATTTTACTGTTTTGTATGCTGTGTGTTATATTGATGTTCATTATCAACCTGGGCGTCCTGTTTAGCCATTTTCACTGTTTACTTGACTGTTTTTAGGACAAATAACTTAGAAGTTATTAATATAAATAAAAACAGCTTGTAAATAATGATAGTAAATGTACCTGTAGAAGCTGTACATCCTGTGCTTTGAGAGCTGTTTCAATATCATTGATTGTGGAGGAGAGTGTGTTGATCTGCTCTTCAATGTTTTCCAGCTTCTTACACATGATTTGAGTCTTAGTTTCCTCCTCCTGTTTCAGTGCCTGCAATCTGGTGTTTTCCTCCTCCTTAAGGAACTGGTGGAGCTTCTTAAACTCTTCCTTGATTCCTGTCTCCGTTTCACATGCCTACGTCTGTAATTTTAAAGAATGTGGGTTTTTTTTAAGCTAGTAAATGGAAGGATTGTTTGTCATGCTGGGGGTTTTTTCGTCAGAAGCAACATTAAAAAGTCCCAGTAAGAGTCAGCATTGTTTCACGAAACACAAAACTCTTTACCTGGATATAGGTTTTTATTTCCTCCCATTGTTCCTTTGTGTTGATTAATACTTTGAGTTTTTTCTTTAAGGACTCGAGGCTGGCTGAGATTTCTGTCTGAAATGTACGAAGAAGAATTTTAAAATATAGCATTTCTGTGTAGTTCCTGATAATCAGTTTTCTTTGTGGTTTTGTTTAATATCACATCGAATTAAAATTGTTAATTATTTGAGTCATATTGGGTGCACTCATTTCACTATTTTCTTACATTTTACAGACATAAGAATAATGAGAATTCGTGGGACAAATGACACATTACGTGATGATGGAAGTCATTAATTAAAGATCTGTTTTTACATTGTGATGTAAGTCTACCAACAACTTCACCCCAGTATTAGTTTTTTTTTAAATGTATATTTATACGTACCTTTTTCTGTTCAGCTGCCTCGTCTACTGGGTGGCAGACATGGACTTTGTGCTCTTTCGATTGTTGGCAGACAAGACAGACAAGCTCTTCATCATTGTGACAAAAACTATTCCGCTTCTGGTTGTGGAGAAAACATTTGTCTTGATTAGTGGTGGACATAACTGAGATCCTTTCTGTTTCCAGTTAAATAATCACATTCTGCAAACAGTGGTGCACTTCCCTGAACGCTCAGGTGTTTCTGTCAAGTGATGGTCTTTGATTCAGGTATTGGGACAGTAGGCGGTACAACTGGGAACATTTACAGCTTCCTGTAGAAGTTGGCCAACTAGTATAACTGGGTAATCATGCAAGTCATCCAGACATAACCAAAGATGATACACAGTGGGGCAAAAAAGTATTTAGTCAGCCACCGATTGTGCAAGTTCCCCCACTTAAAATGATGACAGAGGTCAGTAATTTGCACCAGA